AATGAGTGGTCGTGACGGGCAATCAGACACGGTGCCCGCACCCCAGCAGCCCAGCCGGCTGCACCCAGAACACCCCACGCCTGGGAAAGGGGGGAGGGGAGCACAGCCACACTGCCATCACCTGGGCACAGCTAGTTGAAGAAATGAACCACGGGACCCGGACACCAGAGGGCAGCAATGCCCTGCCCAACCACAAGAGCGGGTACAGGCCGGGAAGTAGGGACTTCGGGTCTGCTACTTCCCTTCCCTGATGGTGCAGTGCACCCACCTCCAATCGGACCCTTGCGAGCACGTACCCCACACCAGACCCCACTGCCCCCACGTGCTCTCTCAGCACCTCAAGACATGAATGAAAAAGAAAGCCCAGCCTGGTGCCAATGATAAAAAGTCCCAAGCGTGGGCAACTGAGCTGCAAAGATGGCCATTTTAAAGGCCACAGAGAGCTGGAGAGACGGGATAGAGGGGCAACAAGGTAGCTACCCCCCCATAAGGGCCACTAGCCCCATTTCCCTCATAAACCTAAGCGAATAAATTTCTAATTCATGAGTAAAGTGGATCCTCAGGGGGGCTGATGTCTCATGGGAGCAAGCTGTGGGCGATCAGGGTGAATTTCAAAAGGAAAACCTGGTCCCCTCTCACTGCCCCCACGTGAAGACTGTTGGGAAAACTAATCCGCAACCCCCCTGAGCCCTCTGTGGGCCACTTCAAACTTTCTCCTGATGAAAAATGATTCAGGAGACTTTAAAGGATAATTAAAAAGGTAGCAAGCTTTGCAGCGCAGAGGCCAGCCACAGCCGGTGCAGAGGCCGGCCACAGCCGGTGCAGAGGCTTGCCTTTGTTCGCCCTCCCCCCAGCATCTGAAGTCACCGACAAGGGGGGGGTAAGTGGGGGGGTGCTATCGCTTGGTGGCTTGGAGAGGCAGGGTGCCTGAAACAAAGCTCAGTGGGCGGACGGAAAGCTGCGGCGGTCAGCTTACCTGTTTGCCCCTGTAAAAGAGTCTCTGCAGCTGGGGTTCCACGTGAAACAGCTCCGAAATCTTCTTCCTCAGCTCCTGCACTTTGGTCAGCCTGGACAGAGAGTCCACAGTGTGGGTCTCCTTCCCATCCATGGTCCGGACCTGGATCCACATGGTGCCAATATGCTGGAGGGACAGAGAGAAAGGGAAAGGGTCACTGTGGCCGGCCAGCGGGTGGGGAAGTGGGGGACCCTCACCCCAGTAGCTTTCTTTACATCTGATTGAGCAAGAAGCAGCTCCCAGGATCAACCTCCTGGCATCCTGGCCCCTGTGCTCGGCCAGACGGCACCTTAGAGAACCAGGTGGTTAGTGTTTTCAAGACCAGTGAGTGAGTGGGGACACTTGAGCGTGGACCAAAGACATCCTGGGCGACCCACGACAATCCACCACGTCTTCAAAGAGGAGGAAGAAAAAAAGCAATATCCATGGCGAGAGAAAGGGACTGGTCAGGCTGAGTGGTCACAGCTGCTCATTCATTCGTTCACCCATTCATTCATCCCACCCAGTCCAAGTCCCAGCAACGGGAACTCGCCAACTCCGAAGCGGACCGGAACTTCTTAAGTCCCGGGAGGGGGGACTAGGTCACACAGAAGGCAGGACCCCCCACACACACATACACCTCACTCGGGACGCCCCCCGGAGTTCCGGGCCGGTGCCCCCTGCGCGCGTGCGTGGAGCAGCCCCCCCCCCGGCCGTGGCCATGGCAACCGGCAGTCCGGGCCCGGACACCCCCGCGCGCGCGCTCGTGGCCAGAAACTCACCTGGGCCCCACGCACGACTAGCTTCCCTAACCTTCCCCGGAGACACTGACCCTGGCCTCTTGGAATGGCGCTTTAAACACGCTTTAAAGACCCCGAGGCCCGGAGCCCACGCCCACACCCTCCGCCGCCGCCAGGGTCGGACCCCCGGAGCCGCGCCGTTTAAGTTCCGCCCTTCCCGGAGAGCCCGCTGCTGATTGGCTCCGCCCGGGCGGCACGCCCCGCCCTCCTCGCACGCGATTGGCCGAGACGTACTCGGAGAAGCCAGGGCGCGCGAAACCGGACTCGGGCGCGACAATTGAATCTCGAGGAGCGTCCGCGCGCAGGCGCGGAGCCGCGTGTAGCCCCCCCACACCAGACCCCACGCGCTTCCCGCGGACTTAGCCGCACTCAGGAGGGTCAAAACGCAGGTTCATCGTGGAGGACGCCACTCAGGTTGCCCCTCAACGGACGGAGAAGCACGCATGCGCGGTGGCTCTCTGCAATGCCCGGAGCCACGCGCGGGAAAGTTTTGCCAAGTTTTGGGGTGTAACCGTGTATGTGCCCGGGGCCTGAGATGGGGACCCAGCGTGGAGGATACAAATCGGATCCCCATACACGCGATGCGGAAGCACGCGTGGGCAATGGTTCTCTGCAAATCTCAACCCACGCGCAGGAAAGTTTGCAAAGTTCCCCCCCCCTCCAACCCGGGGCGTCAACGTAGTGCGGCTAGCCAGGAAAGGGGTTTAGCGTGGAAGACTGGGAAGACCTCGGATCCCCTGAAGCAAGCCCCGCGGCCACCCGTGGGAAGAATTCTTTCCAGTTTTGCGCAGTGCCTGGCCGTGCCACTGTGTGAGCACAGCCCGCTCTTCCACTCACCTCTCCCGCGGCAGCGATCCGCACTGTCCTCTCGCCTGGAGTGCCTGGCTCCTGGTTAGGGCTCTGGGGCTGGGTGACCGAGGAGGGAGCGGCGGAGTGACCGGGAGTGGCAGAGGACCTGAGTGAGCTCGGCAGCGCGCGATCCTTCCAGCTGCTAGGGGTTTTCTTTTTCCCGCGAAAACTCAGGGCGTTTTTAGAAATGTGCACAGACTGCTGCGAGACTCTGCCACTCTAATGGGTGGAGGGGGGCGGGCTCTTGATTCCTGATTGGCTCGCGCTGTGGCGGGAAGCGAGAAAGAGTGGGGGCGTCCCCACGACTAGGGATCTACCCCACCCCCAGCTCCGCCCAGCGGGCCACGGACCTACCCTACCAGCAGTGCCCAGTTTACCAAGGCCCAGGTCTAGCATGCAAACCATATAAGAATCCCGGGAGAGATTCCCC